AATGTCATTCTTTTTTTGTTTCCACTTTAATTTAGACCCAGGATTGTCAAACAAGTTTTTACTATAGCTATTGCCTATATTTTCAAGTTTAAATAATGATTGAAGACTAAGTTTCAGATCCATTTTGTCTTACAAAGAACTGCAATATTAAAATGTTATACTATATATATTATAACTGGATAATTAGATCCAGACTATAAACTTCTGATCGTGCCAAAAACTGATCAACAGATTAAATGACACAGTAGGGGTGTTGCAGTCATAATAGTTTTTTTTTTTCTATGCAGGCTAGAGTCAAGGTTACTTTTGAGTAATCAACTAATACTGTAATGACTCAGGAAAAGAAGGCTTAACATTTACTACAGTAAAGTAATTTTATATAAAATGTACAGCTGTTAGAAAACACAGTTTTTCAGGAGTTATGCCCTTGAAAGGATGTGGTCAGAGTCTGGCTTTTATGAAAGGCATTTCTAGACCTTCAAAGTTCATGAACTCCCACAGTAGTATACACAGTAGGTATTTCCGAAACAAAAACTGTTATTTGCCTACCAATTATGAAAAGTGTAAAAAGATACTTTGACTTTCATAAAAAAACAGCATTTAGAATATTTTCAGATCATCCTTATTCTAACACAAATCTAGTTTTTGCTACTCATTGCTACTCTTCGTAACTATGTTTTACTAATCAGTAAATATCTTTAGGGAGGTTGTACTGTAGTTTAAGGCAGTAGTTGCAACATGTAGAGTCTGCTCTTTTATCATTTTAAATCCATATATGTCAAGACCAAAATAAATTGAAATGAGCACCAGCCTTTTCAAAATGTCCCTTTGAATTTATATTCTTTTTAAATGTTGAATTATTTTAGATTTTCAACCTATTTTCCTGCATAAATGGTGCCTCTTAAATAAAGTTTTGTTTCAAAAAGGAGAAAATAGTTTCCCTTTATTTTTCACACAATTATGGACTAATCTTCTTTTATTCGTATTGACAATGGCAATAATCAACAATTAAGTGCAACCTTTTGTGATTAATGCATCGTTTTAACTTAAAGTCTAAAAACATCCATTATATACAGTATGTAGTATTGTATGTGTGTTATATGGACTAAGACACACATACTATATGTATTATTGTGTCTGGGAAGAAAGTGTGTTTTGATTTCATAAGCAAAAGCAAGAATTTTAACCATGATCAGCAGGAGGCTGGTGAAAAAAGGGATCACCGCCCCTTTATTTCCCAAGTCTTTCTTTAAAACTCTTTCTTTTGCATATGAAAGCAAAACTCTTTGTGTCCAGTCTTGGGTTGTCATCACATATTAGAGATTAGGCTTCATTGCACACGAGACACGTTGTTTTTTACATATGATATGTCTTTATTTGCTATCTTTAGATAAAGAAATATACATTAATTGGATTTTGAAGAGTGAGAGATGGAAAACCATCAAGAGGAGACAACCATAGGAGGCACATGTTTGCTGTTGATGAGATTGAGTATTACGCAGTGATTTATTGAATGAACTCCGAATTGGCATAGCATCCTGTTTTGAGCTAGAATTGCTTCTTCTTTAAAGGGCACAAAGTACACAGTCTTATGTGTGCTCTGACCTTATGGACATTTTGATGGCTAGCAGACACAGATCCAAAAGCAGTTATTATAATACTGTTTAGACCCACTTGGACTTGAGTTTCACTGATGCACAGGGAGCTTGTGCAGAGCACCTGACAGACACAAAGTGTGGATAGACAAACAAATGTTATCCCTGGAAGAGACAATAAATCCCCCTTTTTTGCCGCTGATAGTTTGTGTGTGAGCTGTGTGTACATGTGTAGCCATGGAAATATACACAGTGCCCAGTGTCTAAGGGTTCCTTACTTCTAAAATGGCTGAAAACATTGCTGACAAATTAAGCCTAGCATCAGAGCATTTTGAAAGGCAGTCTTTGTGGTTCATCACATATAGTAAAGTAATACAGTAGGTAAAAAAAAATTGAGGGATTTTCTTTGTAACCACATTATCTGATGTATCGCAGTCATTTATTTTTAACTTTATCATTTATTTAACTAAACATGTCAGTTAGGAAGTAATTATATATAAACATCAAGGCATTCGTGGCAGCAATCTGAGTAAATTTCCTTGCTCAAGGTCATAGCCACAGCATTCTATCAAAGAATTTGTATACACAAATCAGGTCAGGAGTCGACAGCCTTCACACTGCTGCCAGTAAACGTAGGGTCTCGTGACATGGAGTGGCTAAGCCTACCAGTTCATTTTTTACTAAGTCCGTTGATGGGTGAAGGAGTGCCCAGGTGGGATTTTGGAATTGGTACAACTTTAATTTAATAATCCAACATTTTTCCTGGTCTCCCTGAAAAAAAAGATGACATCAATAAAACCAAATGAAAAGCAAGGGAAGTGAGCATGAGCTTTTACAGAGGCTACCTTTGTAGTGATGCTGCATGAATAAATCATCCTGCCACTCGAAAGCTAGGAGGAGAAATCACTGAAATGCAGATTGCTATTTTCAAGTGTGGAGCATTGTCACGTAGTACTGCCATCGACAGCTGCAATATCAAAGTTTCACCTTCTCCTTCTATTCCGAACTTCAGTCTGAATGGCACTGTGCCAGTTAAAAAATGCAGCCTACTATAGAAAGTTGCTTCTTCAAAATAGAAATGATAACAATGATGACAATAATAGTTAAGAAAATTGCAAATTGCTATGAATCATTGCTTACAAAACAAGCAGTAATAACATAAAATACCTAATGTTCTGTTAACAGTTCCTTTATTCAAAGCAGCAAAAAATCATAATTGAGATTCTGTAAGCTTTTCCTTCACAAATAGGATTTAGAGCTACAAATATGACAGCTAATTCTCCCGTCTTAGTTACTGTTGTCTGTGTGCTGGGTATGACTAAGTAGTATTGCTTCACATTCCTGATTATGTAACTACAGATACAGTAGTTACTAATCATGGATTTAGTATTAAATGAAAAGTTCTACATAAATTGCGTTGTGTATTTTCCCATAACTAATTTAGTTATTTTACTTTCCTTTCGGCAAATTATATTTTAAAAAAACAGAAGAAATGTCTTCATATTTTCTAAGTCTATATAAGAAATATTACAATAAAAGGCACTTAAAACAATAACTACTTATTACTTATTACAATAAAAGTTACTTGAAAAGTTATTTGCTTTAGATTTTGATTGTTAAGGACCTTATTTGTTCTTAAGAGTATCCAAGGATTAAATAATTAATTTGTAAGTAGCTGTGACAACATCAAAACAGACTGGTGAATATGTTAAACATGAAATGTTGTCTTCCTGCATCATCAGCATCATTATCATAACACTAAAAAGAAGAAAATGAAGAAGATTTAACATTTTTCTCTTTTCAGCTATCTCTGTTGCATTTTCAATTCAAGAGTAAAAGAACTGTAAACATTCGCATCCTCTTGTCCCCTTAAAGGTTTGATGCTGCCCTGCTAACTTCACTTTCTCACAAATCCTCTATGCACTGCTTAATTTGTAAATCACAAAGTGCTGAAGCTCATTGTGAGCAGAGAGCAAATGTATGGGTGCATAGCACTCCTGTACAGCAGCAACTTTTAACCTCTACACTTTCAATGCATTTTCAGGCTGCCACTGTCAATAACATTTTAACAAGACAACTAAAATCACACCTGAGGAAGGCTCCACAGCCGAAACGTTGTGTTTTCTTTCTTCTCTTTTCAGCATGGAATAAACCTTGTTCCTATAATAATATTATGTAATTAGGCCAGTGGTATGGTGGCCGTAGGTTAGCATTGCTGCCTCACAGCCCTGGGGCCCTGGGTTCAGTTCCAGACCTGTGGTGCTGTCAACATGAAGTTTGTACGTTCTTCCTGTGTTTGTGTGAGTTTCCTTCGGGTGCACTGATTTCCTCCCACAGTCCAAAGACATACTAGTAGGTTAATTGCTTCCTGGGAAAATTGGGCCTGGTGTTTGTGTCTGTCTTCCCTGAGATAGATGGGTGTCTCGTCAAGGGTGTCCATTGCCTTGCGCCCTTTACTTGCCAGGCTAGGCTCCAGCTCCCCCACGCCCCTGAATTGGATGAAGTGGTTAGAAGATCGATGGAGGTAACTGTCCCATGACCTTTCCCCTTTACCCCAAACCAGACTCACGTCTTCCTCTTCCTCCTCCAATAAAACAGAAAGGAATCTCGATTCTGTCACATTGTGCTCGTGTCTGTGCAGCGGAGGCTCTCAGTACTTGTATCTCTCTGCAGTGACTAGCATATCCTCTCTGTACTGTAAATAACAGGGTAATAAACCTGCCTGAGCCTGATTCATCTTCCCCAGCCTGTGTTTCCACCCCACTATTACTAGGAAACACCAGAGCTAGCCACTATATGGTTTTAGAATCTGACTGTATAATCTCCCATATATTGTAGATGTGACAAGGCTCAGTGCTGTGAGCCTGTCACGGAAGTAACATCGCCCCGTTTAAAAACTGTAGAATCCCGAGGCAGAAGACCCGGTCCTTCAGTGCAGCTAAGTTTGCTGCTTTCAGCGCTGTGTGACTCTGAACCCATTAGTGATTGAACCATGCCAGGAACAGAACACAGCTGCATCTGTTACAGATATAGCCCATGGGTAACCATGCTAACAAAAATATATTGCTTTATTTTAAGGCTAAAACCCTTATCTTTTACCTTACTTTCATAAAACCATGATTAAAATACATGTCTGCTTTTAAAAAGATTCTAGTGGGTATGTAACAAAAGGTAGTTTTTTTTTGTTATAGCCTCTCCTAACATTAGCCAGATATTAGGAGATATGTATAACATTTTAATACATTCACTGATCAATTTTCTCCTCATTTCTGAGGAAATGTGTTGTTGAATATTGGAGTATGCAACATTGGAATGCGAAATCCATCCCATATCAATCCCATTCAGTTTCCTGGCAATCTACACTGGCAGCTTGTGCGGCGCATCTGCAGATAAGTAAAGCTGCATCCTGTTCTGTTTTCTTTACACTTCTGGTCTGTTTTTGATGTATTCATACATGGTCAGCACCATGTTTTTTTGGGGGGGAATGTGATCGATGAGTCAACTATACAAAAATCTTTAAAAAAGATATTTAAATTGTAAATGAACGTTAAGTTTATTGTATGCCTTAGAGGTCCCAAAGTGCAGACAGTCTCAAATCAAGAGGCGTGGGAGCTGAGCTCCATCACAAATTAAGTGCATCCTTTGGCCTTCTTCTATAAATTCTCAGATCCAGACAGGAAGTATATTCATTTATTGTGGAACAGAAAGGTTGCTGGAACAATAAGAACAATTCTCACAGGCCTGGTGCTGCAATAAGGTGGATGTCTTAAAAGTTGTTTGTTCTGACAGCTGGAAATTTCACTTCCTTTGAAAGGCACTGTCCATTAGCAAGGGGAAAATTAATGGAGGCAGGTTAGGGAGAGATGGGATGTAGTAACAGAAAACACTGTTTATGACTTCTGTAAGCCTGGAAAGCCATAATATCTGTGGGTACAGACTTTTCACTGAGTATTGGTAGGAAGAGATTTGGCAGAGACTTCTAATTGAGTGTGCATTGTGCATATATGGAGGCCAACTATTTTCAAAAGGCAGGGAACATCTGGCCCTTCCCAAAGCTTATACAGTGCCTTGCAAAAGTATTCAGAGTCTTCCAATGATGTCTCATTTTGTTGGATTAAGAAAGAATGAAATTAATGACATTTAGAAAGAAAATAACCTTGATTTTTCTGTGCAGTTTCTACTGACATTTCATTTATTTTACCCATGAAAGTGTTTAGAGATTCAAGTTTTGATTTAAAATACTCACTGATTTCTTATTCAACAAAATAGGACATCATTGGAGGGGGGACAAATAATCTTTGCAAGGCTCTGTACATGAAAGTGCAGACGTCCTTTGTATCCAGAAAGGAGATACTGTAGGTTCAATCTTATGTGCTTCACTTATGTTAAGATACATCAGTGATCTCTGGCTTTATTCACAAAGGAGATTTAAGTGAGGAGTTTGAATACAAGCCCTCAGACTTCAGCCTTACTTGAGACTTTAGACCAGGGCTGAGCAATCCTGGTCCTGGCAAGCCCAGTTATCTGCAGGTTTTCCAGCTTTCTTTAAAACTGAAGTGAGAAGCACTAGGAGTGGCTATTAGATTGGTCTCATTATGCCAATAATGAGCTGATTGAGCTTGTTAAAAGTTGAGTTGGAATGAAAAGCTGCACTGGCTATTCAGGACCAGGATTGCCTACCCATGCTTTAGAATTAGTTCTTAAGTGAGATCTTTCACTACCCTGCTGGAGTCTGCATTTATATTAACCTTTGCCTTTAGATAACTGTCTTAATGCTTAATAAGTTAAGGTGTTTAAGCTTAATGCTTAACCATTTTGGGAAGATTATGTTTTGCAAACAGGAGAATATGATGTTTCTAAAGCAGGCTCTGTCTCTTTAAGAAATTAGTCACTGAAGGTAGTAGATGTATTGCTAAATATTCAGCATTAATACCTAGATATTTACATATCAATCTAGAATCTGTTTTACATCTGTTTCTTTCTAACCCTTTCTTCTTTTTTTGCTGTATTTTGTGCCTGTTTCATTCACCCAAGTTTTAACAAGTGTGTCAAATTTTTGTTACATTTTGTTAAATAAAAAAAAGTAAACAATAGTCATACAATGAACCACGCAGTAGAGTAAGGGATTTTTTTCAAGAGCAAATTTCAAGGGCAAGCTGCTGTGTATGTCTGAGAGGAGACAGGCAGCCTGAAAGCGAGCAGTTCTGAATTTTGTTTCTCTCCCTTTTAATTGGATCCAGAGGACTGTAGAAGCTTCTGTAAATCAGCCTGGCAGCCTGTGCTGCAAGCTGGCACATATTATGTGGATTGTGACTTTGGAACACATTCTGTAAATCAAATGAGATTAATGAGAACAATTATATCAGTAGTATGAAGATCATGCACGATAATTCCACTTTAAAATACTGTATATATGTTCTTGGCTTTTATTTGCATTCAGTCACATCTTTTGGACCAAGAGGTCCTGCAAAGAAGGCCAGGTACAGTATGTTCTGATTTTTGTGGTCAACAAAATAATTCGCCTAACTATTTACTTAGTTAGGCATATATGCGATTTGCAGTTCAGGAACATTAGCTTAATTAAAAGTACAGTTACTCAGAAAACACCTTTGAGTTTGTTAAGAACAATTACAATTATATAGTGAACTAAATTATCAGACCAGCCACAGTATGTAACTGAGTTTCAAAGGGGAACTGCAATGCTATTTACAAATTTCGGGATTCGAAAGAGGTAGCATCGATGAGTGAATTTCAAACCACAATAAAAGTAAAATGTACGCTGTAACTTGTAAGTAAGCTTGTGAATATAAGTCTTGTAATCCAATAGAAATATTGCTCTTGATTTTGATTTCAGTTTTGCCAACAAATGCTACTTGCTTGTTATCTCTGTAAGCAGATCACATTGGAACATTTCTGCAGATGTAAGGGAGTATTACCTGTATTTATA